GTGACTTTATTATCAAGTCTATTGTCTTACAAAGAACTTTAACACACCCATTGAAGCTTCAAACGAGAGAACCAATATTTGAAACAGGTGAGATACTGCTATCAGTTGACCTGATTCTTTTTCTCATCTCGATCTCGGGGGTAATGACACGGATTTGCACAGCCTTGGCTCCACCTTGCTCTACCTGCATTCACAAACGAAAATATACGTGAGCAGAAAGCTCAAATCACAGATCTAATTGTATAACTAATGATTACATTTACTTTTACTAGAGCATGAAATAAAGGAGTACTTTACACCAAAGGACCTACGGATTGGAAATACTATTGTAATCTTTGGTAGAGCGTTTCTCATCTACGACTGCGACAACTTCACCAAGGCCTGGTATTATCAAAACTTTGGTCTAACGGAATTCAAACCCGTCCCAGTTGATCCTCCAAAGAAGGAAATCACAAAGATGGTTAGCCAAAATTTCTACCTGTTCTTTTCAAATGCTACTGTAATTTCTACACTGCAGCAACGCTTGAAAGAAGAGCGATCACGCGAGCTCATAAACACATTTTAGCTACGTCTAGGGCAGCGTAGTACTTACAAGATTTAATTTTAAGCTTAAAGGCAGTGATAGCAAGCGCTTATTATTTTACTGTGTGAAATCGTGGGTAATCTGAGGGCCTTGCAAAAGATGAACGGGTTGGTGTAGAGAAGAAGTTTGAACCGCTTTATCTGTGACTGCTTACTCTTTCTTAGGAACTGTAATGTCCACAGGGGCTCAGGGAAATTCCATTCCTGGAGACGTTATCGAAAAAAGCTGCTGAGAAGCTTGCAAGACTAATTTTTTATCAGAAACTTGAAATTTAATTTATGGCCAGGTGCACGCAGGTTATTCATTAAAAGATTTCATTGTAATCCACAGCAATCTTACTCATGAAGAGTACTGCTAAAGTAGTGTATACTTTTAAATACGCTTCTCGGGTTCAACTATAACTTTGTGTCTTTCTTGTAGGAAGACGACAGAAAATTACTTTCCTACGACTTCTTTAACTGTTGTCGCCCAAAAGAGCGATAGCTCAATTATGACACATGTTGGATTTCGAGAGAAAGTGTGAACGAATTTTGCAATTCTGTTCAGAGGGCATGCCAATTGTCTCATCTATGTTGCATGGATTCTACAAGCGTTAGTAAAATTTGAGAAAAAGGAATTTCGAAAAAAATTATCATTTCAAACATAATGTATACGGTTGGAAACTACGTGGGGTATTCATATAAAAATTTATAATCTGACACGCGCTGTTCGCACATCCATCAGACAAAAATTTATTCGACCGTCAATAGGTGTGGACAAGTCCTTGTAAGCGTGAGTGTTTACGCAGGGCTTGCTTTAAGGCTATGTAAGGTCCCACACTGAATCCCGCCTCTTGTCGTTTAGACATGACAATAAATAGAAGAGCTGCCTGATCTTGGATCCAATGATTAAACCTTTTCGGTAAACAACCAAGCATGTTTTGAAATTATCCCAAATAAGAAGCTGCGGCTTAGAGGTTACAAACTTTTTAAACCAAGCAATGTCATTGGGCATCGCCAATAAGTCAAGCTACTATTCCCGAATTACTAATTACACATGTGATTACACTACTCGTAATAAGTGACTAGTCGTGCCTCTTTTTTCTTTTTGACTAAGCGAGGGCTGCTCGCTTTTCGCCTGCATTTATGTAAACGACCTCTTTTTGAATTCTTCCTCTGTATCGATGAATTTTCCAATCACTTTGTTACCAATAGGGAGCTCAAAGACTGCCAATCGGAATTGAACGGAATCGAACCGAATTATCTAATATTTTATGACTACTTAAATTGCTACAGTAGAAGGTTTTGGAAACATATACTTTCCCCACTTTTTGAATTACTTACCTAAATAATTTCGGCACAAAATGCGTTTTCCAAGGCGAATGGGCAAAAATGAGGCAATAAAAAGAAGACTCTGTATGTAGTGGTCTTCTTTGATGAGATATCCACTGGCGGCATAGGAAAGCATACTTGTCTATCCAGTCTGCCACAGAATGTGCAGTAGACACCCTACGTTTTGGCCAAATACGTTTTTCGTTTCAAACTGTGAGTCTTCCCCAAACAAAAAATATTTAATAATAGAGCTTCCAACGTAAAAATTGGAAAAATGATTATTAAATGGTTTCTCTTAGCTCAATTATATCCCCTGAACCAGACTTACAACTGAGGAAAACATTTCATATGTGAAATAGACAAGGTTTTCTAAGTAGCAACGAATATCGCATAATTGGATGTCGCCAAAGGCGATTGATTAAGCACTTTGTTTACCGTGCAGGTTTAGGAGTGTCTGTGGAAAATTTTTCGAAACATCCAACAATGTCTAGAGCTTATAACAGCGGCCCATTTCTTTGACAGGAACTGCCGTTCTACAATGGCTACGGCACGCTAGAAGACAGTCTGGCCAGCTCCAAAACGTTTATGCCAAAACCACCTAAGGTGGACTTTGAAAAGCAAGTGGATTATTCCCAGAAGGTTTTACGCTACGAAGTTAAACTGGTGAGTCTTTCGCTGCACTTAATTTTACCTTACTCTACCCCTATAGGTAGTGCTGAATGAGACTGTGCGCTTGATTGCGATGCGTGCGGCCTACACATCGCCCATTTTGCGCTTACGTGATAGCGCCCATTTTTTACGATACAGTTTGTCTCATGACGCTGATATTTACAAAAGGACGGGCTCCCTGCGCTGCGCTGACCTAATCGCTGGAACTGGTGTGCTAGTC